CTGGCTTAATTATCATCAAAATTGTGAATTTGGAGTCATCACAGTGAATTCTGAGGTGTCATGTAGTTTGATACTGTTTGGCTTTCGCAGCCTTTACATCTCATGTTCCAGAAATTCAGCCTCAGGCTCACAAAAGCACAGGTACTGCCAAAAGGAAACGCTTTGGCAAAAGGTTTCAGAAGTCAACTCTGGCAGCCTTTAAAGTAGAATGCTCAAATCCTGCCTGTTAGCAAGACTGTGGTATGTGAAAGGACTTGCTGGATAATTTAGTGTCACCCGTAGACATAGAAAAGATATGGCCAAGGATTGAATCCCTCATGGGTTTAGCAAGGTCATTAGGGCAAAATATCTCTACTAGTAGTATTATTATTTGAATTTTTGAATATTATTATTTGAATTCAACACATTTTATTTGAATCAAAGGATTAACAGGGCTATTGTTTCTGATCTATTCAGGATTTTCTAGAAGAAATTTATTGTTACTCCTGTTTGAGAATACTTTTCACAAAAGCAGAACTCTATTCTTTCTTTTTCTGTTCCCTGGTCACTCATTGCACTGAACATTCAATTACTGCTTACTTGCCTTTCCCCCAGGTAACAGGGCTCAAATCCTTTCACTGACAATATGGCTGAGTAGGGCTCTGAATTCCACTCTTTAATATGTCTGTTTTGAACTAGTCACCTGCTTTGGCTTGCACAGCATTAACACTCTTCACTGCTTCCTACCCCCAAGTGTTCTTTGATGGCTCCTCCTCTACCGCCCCCTATTGGAGACATTTGCTTTCTTCTCCTTCTCAACATGGCTTTAATTGCCATTTACAGTTTGATGACACACATTGAGATCTCCAGCCCGGATGTGCTTCTCCTAGGTTCTAACTTTAAAATGTAACGGCCTGGTTTTAGATCAAGTTTGAAAACTCATACACTTCTCCATGTTGATGTGGTCAGAATAGAACCCGTCATTCCCTCCCCTGCCCCCATACGATTGCTCTCTAGACTTCTCTCCCTCCATAAAGAAGGTCACCACCTGTCCTCGAGCCCTAGCTACTCTCCCTTGCCTATAGCTTCCTCAATAGCAATTCCTGTCTGTTCCCTCCAAGACATCTTGAATCCATTTTCTCTTCTGCCTCACGCTGCTGCTCACAGCTTTCTAGTCCTTCATTGTCTGCCTGATCTCCAGCTTCTGCTCTTGCGCTCATCAACAGAGTGATCTCTTTAAACTGTAAATAACATAAACTGCTCCTCTGCTCAAAATCTTCCATTTCTTGCGATTGGGCCAATAATAAAACCCTGTCTTCCTTTTTTTTAAGATTTTATTTATTTATTTACAAGGTGGAATTATGGACAGAGAGATGGAGAGACAGAGAGACTGAGAACCATCTGCTGCTTCACTCTCCAAATGGCTGCAATGGCCAGAGCTGCACCAACCTGAAGACAGGTGCCAAGAGCTTCCTCTGAGTCTCCCACACAGGTGCAGGGGCCCAAGGACTTGGGCCATCTTCTACTGCTTTCCCAGTGCATACCAGAGAGCTGGATCTGAGGAAGAGCAGCTGGGTCTAGAACCGGTGCTCATATGGGATGCCAGCCCTGCAGGCAGAGCCTTAGCCCACTATGCTACAGTGGGGCCCCAACCCTGTCTTCTAAACACAATGTACAAGGTACATTGACTGACTCCTACATACCTCTCTAAACACACTGGTCCAGTTTGCTGTTTTCTCATTATTCTCTAGGTACAATGACCTTCTTGTCATTGCTAGAGTGTTATAGTCTGCCCCACTTCTGCGCCTTAGGCCTTGCTGTATCCAAGATAGGGAAAAAACACCCTACTACCCAACTCTCCACCCCAGTTATCATGACTGGCATATTTAGTTCACGGCTGAAAAGTCAGCTTCTCAAAGAGACCCATTATATACTAGATTATTCTTGATTTTTATCTAGCATGATACTTTTTATTTTTAAAATGTTTTTTACAATCTACTACTTTTACTCCATGAAAGCACTGCCTTCTTCAAACATTTATTTTCCAATCTTATCATTGCTTGAACACAGTTGGCACTCAATAAATATAGATTGAATTTTTCAAATGAATATCAGTCCTGTTTTTTTTATTTTCTGTTTTGCCACTCTTCCTTAAAGTATGTTGTTAGTTCTGTATATTCCATTTTAGCAGTACGGAGCAATAACATAGTCTTCCTTTCTTTTTTCACAATATTTGTTTTCAAATATACAGCTTATATATGTAGTATTACAATGGGCATCTCAAATTTGGTAAACTAGTGTGGGTTAAATGGTCTGAATCTTTTCCTATAAGTAACACACTGAATTCTTATCAAAAAGGGTGTGCTTTTTTCTACTTTCATCTTTTCTTTTTTGTCAAAAGAGAGAATATTTTTCTTGTTTGCTGCCTGACTTCACTGGGGTTGTGGAGGGGCTTTAATTCGGCTATACTTAGGGACTCGAGTAAATAATTCGTGATGCATATTCTCAGTTCTAAATTTTAGAATCAGAGCAGGTATTTGGCCTAGGATGTAAGACTTCTGTGTTCCATATAAAAGCGCCTAGGTTTCATGCATCATTACACCCCTGATTCCAGCTTCCCACTAATGCAATTTCTGTATTATGACCTTCAGTGGCCAAGCCAATTTCTCCTGGGAGGCAATGGTAAGGACTCTTTACTGCGTTTTTGTCTCTTTCATGGGACACTTGGATTGAGTTCCTGGCTCCCAGCCTCAGTCCCAGCCTAGTGCATTATGGACATTTGGGTTATGAGCCAAGTGAGAGCTATCTCTGTCTCTCCATGTCTCTCTGTCTCCCTGCTTCTCAAATAATAAAATAAATAAAAATAAATATTTAACTTCTACTAAATTCTATTACTTTTTCAATTTAATTTAATTTTTAAAGATTCATGTATTTATTTGAAAGTCAGAACTACAGAGAAAGAGGGAGAGATAGACAGAGAGACCATCCATCTGCTGGTTCAGACCCGAGTTGGCCACAACAGCCTGCCAAATTAAGGAACCAGGAGCCTCTTCTGGGTCTCCCCTGTGGTAGCAGAGACATCAGCACCTGAGCCATCTTCTGATGCTTTTCCCAGACAATATCAGGGAGCTGAAATGGAAGTGGAGTGGCCGGACACAAACTGGCACCCATAAAGGATGCCAGCATTTCAGGCGGCAGCTTCACCCATTACACCACAAGGCTGGCCCCAATACTATTACTCTTTAAGTTTCTATTTTCTATCCTAAAACAAAAATATTCTTGATAAAACATTGAAATTCTCTCTGTTCCTTATAGACACATGGCCGTGTAATAATTCATATCTTCAGGCACAAATGCAAGCAATATATTTTGATTTATTCATACCACCACCTTTGAGTGCTTACCAGGTATAAACTTTGTGTAATGCAGTGGATATCTACAGATAAATATCAAATAGTTCTTTTCTTGAATGATATTGTTTTCCAGACATACACAATCACAATGCACTGTGATAAATATATTGAAAGTATATACAAGTTACCCTGAGAACAGAGGTGAGAGGAAAGTAAGGATATGTTGAATTCCTGCTATAGTCTAGAAAATATAAAAACATCAACAGTCTGCAGTTGCAGAACTTGAATTCTAAGTTGGACCTTGGCTGAGATCACACAGCTAGAAAATGAGGAAGTGAGTATATCAAGCAAGCGATGACTAGTTTCAGAACCTACGTTCTTTCCATTGTAGGAAGCAGACTGCTTATCTCTTGGAGAGGAGAGGGTGGAGATTGAGAAGGGTCAGGAAAAGACAGAGAGGATACAACACTAGGAATAAGAAAATACGCATAGGACTTGCAAGTCATTTCACCGGGATCGTCTTGGGAGGTGGATGGGAATCCACCAGTCAGGTAGCTAGCCTCAGAACCAAAGGCGAACAAGGAAAGTCAGAGGAATGACAAGCCTGCAGAGCAACTGGAGCTTGCGGAGAGAAAAGTGATTGGTGAGAGTCGATGATACTGAAGTTGCTGGGCAGCAAGTGAAAAATGCCCTTCAGTGGCCAAGCCAAGGAGTCTTAATGTCATTATAAGGCAAAGAGGAGACAAAAAAAGCTTTTGGGTGGTGGGATAATCTGACAAAATGCACATTTCTGCAGGAATCCCTCTGGTAGTAGCATTGAGAAGACTAAACGATCAGAGCAAGCAAGGTCAGAATTAATTTGCAGTGTTTTAAGCAAGAAATTTTGGGGGGAAAACAGTGACAATTAGAATTAACAGAAAAGGATGAATTTAAAGATTTTAAAGGACATAAATAACATAGACATTGGATTTTGTCATATGAAGTAAAATGGCTTTAGAATGCCTAATCTGGCGCTCTCTCGCTCTCTCTTCTCTCTCTCTCTACTCTTTTTAGTTATTTAGTAAGTTTTAGTCTATACTTTTCAAGTATTTGTATATGGAAATGGTCAAAATAATTCAAGCTTACATGCTGTCATTTCAGTGCAAAATAAGTTTTGAAGCAGGCATTTGGCCTAGAATTTAAACCAACTGTTGAGATACCCACGTACTATATCAGAATACCCAGGCTCAATTTCCTTCTCTTGTTTCCTGACTGCAGCTTCCTGCCAAGGCAGGGGTAACACCTCAAGTAGTTGGACCCCTGTCTCTTACATACGAGACCTGAGTTTGCTTTCCAGTTTCTGGTTTGGCCACCCAGCCCCAGGGGTTTCAGGAATTTGCAGAGTTCATCAGCAGGCGAGCGCTCTCTCTCTCTCTCTCTCTCTCTCTTTGGTTATCTGTCTCTCTGACTCTAGAATTAATAAATTGAACAATTTACATAATAAACTTTAAAATAAAGTGGTAATTTTAAATCATTACTGCCATAATATAGGCAAATTAATTTGTATCTATATTTTTAAATCAAAATAAACCAGAGTATGTGGCATTATATGTTCAGTGACTTTCTTTTTGTGCCTTATTGCAACCAACTTCTCTACATGGAAAATATGTAAAAAACTAAAAGACATACCTCTTCCAGATGGATACTGTAATATTTCACTTTGTTTCTCATTTCATCCTTCCTTTAAAACACAACTTTTTCACTTCCATCTGGAGTATTTTGTGAGACAATGGTTTAGCCTGTACAGAGGTTCAGATCAGGTTTCCTAAATCCATAAGCAGCCTAAACAGCATTCCCAAGGGAGTAGGTAAAATAAATCAAATTTTAAAAAATAATTAAAACTGATGTAGGATGGTGACAAACACTGAGATGAGCAGCTAAGCTGTGAATAGATGCTCAGCTATTTATATCATTTGAATTTATACTTTCTTTCCAATTATCAAGTGTTGTTATAGCTGTGAAAATGACTTAAGTCCCAAGGCATTTTAGAAATGTAACCTGATAAGAAAGTCAATTTTTTAAAAGAGTTATTTTATTTATTTAAAAGCTAGAGTTACAGAGAGAGAGAAAGAGTGATCTACAATCTGCTGGTTCACTCCCCAAATGGCCGCAATGGCTGGGCTTGGGCCAATCTGAAGCCAGGAGCCAGTAGCTTCTTCTGAGTCATCCACATGGGTGCAGGGTCCCAAGCATTTGGGCCATCTTCAGTTGCTTTCCCAGGCCATTAGCAGGGAGCTGGATCAGAAATGGAGCAGCCAGGATTAAGACCGTTGACCAAATGTGATGCCAGTGTTGCAGATGGCAGCTTAACCTGCTATGCCACAATGCCAGCCCCTTAAATTCTTACTTAGTGATTATTGGCATGAGTACATAGCTATTTGCCACAATGGCATAAATACTACTCACTAGATGAGTACCACTGGATTACTTCAACATACACAGCATTTTATTCTAATTATAATAGATTTGGATCAAATTTCCAAGTTCCATCTCTTTATAAGATAACTATTAATTTAAGTAAATTCAGCCATCCAAATTATGTTCCCCATTGCAAATCAAAATGTAATCGGTTTTAAATGCATAGTACAGACACCATCTTTTGCAATTCTCTAATGCGAACAAAGGGCTTTGATACTTTCTATGTTCCTGATAGTGTAGCATTGCCTTTAAGGAAATTAGGAAAGAAAGTTGAATACTTAGTTGCCAGATCTAGTCAAAATGACTCATTTTCTTAATTTTACCTATCTGAAAGAAAGCTATCTCTAATTCAAAATGAATCCTCAGATATTTCTTCAGTGCAATAAGGTGCACTGATACAACATATCTTTTCTTCCCACATTTATTCTGATAGATATCTTTCAAAAGACAGAATTAAAGTAAATTCAATTATGCATTATTATTTTGTAAAATGAACACACCTGTCATTTTCCCTTTTGGCCAAATGACATCATCTAACTCTTGAACACATGAGAGCTTATCAGGATAAGTGAGCTCAGAAAAATAGTGGACTACTAAATATGAATTCTGTTTTATCTGCTTATAAAAATCATATCCATTTCTAGAGATCACTCAGTTTCATTTTCCTCCCACCTGATAGTATCTCACATCTGTGGAAACAAGAGTGAAAGATCACCTCACTTGGCAATAGAAAATTGTGGAAATCATTATGGAATAAAATATACAATGTGAAAATTGAAAAATTGGTCTTAGGGACAATTCCAACAGAAACTGGCATTCTGGGAGAATGCAAACTATTTGTACTTATTTCTCTCAGTGAAACTTCATTGGCCCGTCATAATGATATCAGCAGCATGCATGTTCTCAGTAAAGATGTTTGAAATTCTTTTTTTAAAATAATTAATATACTCTCACTTTTTTTGTATATTTTCTTTAAGCTATAAAGTACAGTCATGGTTCCTTGAGACTCACCAAGACAAAGGACTGTCTCTCTCTACTCTGTAGATTCTCTGATGCAGATATGTACAAAATGAGGAAGCAAAAGGCTCCCATGAGCAGTCACACTCACTGTCATCCTAATGCACTCACAATTTTCTGGGAAAAAAAAGATAAATATTATATGTTTTCTCTGATACATGGTAGTTAATATAGGATACAAAAAAAAAACCAACATAGAATAAAGTACTCTATTATGTACCAAAGATCAGAGAAAACAAGGAATTTTTCTTTTTGAAACTGGCTTATTTCACTAAGTATAATGGTTTCCAGTTGCATGCATTTTATTGCGAAGACAGGATTACATTTTGCTTTTAATGCTGAATAATATTCCATTGTGTATATTTACGATAATTTCTTTATCCAGCCATCAGCTAATAAACATTTGAGTTGAGTCCATATATTAGCAATTGTGAATTGAACTGCAATAAACATTGTCCCTTAGTGGAGTCTTTTGGTTCCCCTATATAGAGAATCATGTCATCTGAAAATAGGGATTGTTTGACTTTCTCTTTCCCAATTTATATCAATTTGATTTCATTTTCTTGCCTAATGTCTCTGGCTAAAACTTCCTGGACTATATTGAATAGTAATTGTGAGATTGGGCATCCTTTTTTGGTTCCTGATCTTAATGAGAATGCTCCAACTTTTCCCCAAATAAGATACTGGCTGTAGATTTGTCATAAATTGCCTTGATTTTCTTAAGGAATATTCCTTCTATACCCAATTTGCTTACAGCTTTCATCATGAAGCAATGTTGTATTTTATCAAATGCTTTCTCTGCATCTCTTGAATTAATTGTTTTTGTGCTTCAGTTTATTAATGTGGTATATTACATTTATTCATCTGCAAATGTTGGACCATCCCTGCATACCTGGGATAAATCCCACTTGGTCTGGGTGAATGATCTTTCTGATGTATTGTTGGATTCCATTAGCTAGTATTTTGTTGAGGAGTTTTGAGTCTATGTTCATCAGGGACATTGATCTCTAGTTCTCTTTTCTCTGTTATATCATTTTCTGGTAGGAATTAAGGTGATGCTAGCTTCATGGAAAGAGTTTGGCAAGATATCCTCTCTTTCAATTGTTTTGAATAACTTGATAAGAATTGGAGTTAGTTCTTCTTTAAATATCTGGTAGAATTCAACAATAAAGCTGTCTTGTCCTGGGTTTCTACTTGTTGTGAGGGTATTCATTACTGACTCAATGTTCATCTTGGTTATTGGTCTATTTAGATTTATAATGTCTTCATGTCTCAAATTTGGTAGTTTTTTTTTCATTTTTTTATTTTATTTTATTTAATGAACATAAATTTTCAAAGTACAGCTTATGGATTACAATAGCTTCCCACCCCCATAACTTCCCTCCCACCCACAACACTCCCCTCTCCCACTCCCTCTCCCTTTCCATTCACATCAAGATTAATTTTCAATTGTCTTTATATACAGAAGATCAATTTAGCATATATTAAGTAAAGATTTCAACAGTTTGCACCCACACAGAAACACAATGTGTAAAATACTATTTGAGTACTAGTTATAGCATTAATTAAACACCTAAGAGTAATTGTGTATTAATTACAGAGTTCAACCAATAGCTTTAAGTAGAACATAAAAAATACTAAAAGGGTAAAGTATTAAGTTTTTTTTCTTCTTTTTGTTTGTTATATAGTTATTTTTTTATTTAATAAACGTTAATTTACTAAGTGCAACTTTTGTATTGTTGTGGCTCCCCCCCCAACCTCCCTCCCTCCCGTGGCCCTCCCCTCTCCCACTCCCTCTCCCATCCCTCCCTTCATCACGTTTCATTTTCAATTACCTTCATACACTGAAGATCAACTTACTATATACTAAGCAAGGATTTCAATAGGCTGTACTCACACAACCGCACAAGGTATAGGGTATTGTTCGACTAGTAGTGTTGTTTTTAAGTTTCATAGTAAAACACATTAAGGACAGAGATCCTACATGGGGAGCATGTACCCAGTGACTCCCGTTGTTGATTTAACAATTGACACTCTTATTTATGACATCAGCAATCACCCGAGACCCTTGCCATGAGCTGTCTAGGCTCTGGAAGCCCCTTGAGTTCACCCACTCTGAACTTGTTTAGTCAAGGCCGTATCACAGTGGAGGTTCCTTCCTCCCTTCAGAGAAAGGCGCCTCTCTCCTTGATGGCCTGTTCCTTCTACTGGGGTCTTGTTCACCAGGATCTTTCATTTAGATTGTTTTTTGCCACCGTGTCATGGCTTTCCATGCCTGTGAGACTCTCATGGACCTTTTAGCCAGATCTGAATGTCCCAAGGGTTGATTCTGAGGCAAGAGCGCTGCCATTTTATGAGTCTGCTGTGTGTCCTGTTTCCCCCACAGGATCATTCTCTCCCTTTTAATTCTGTCCTTCATTATTTGCTCACACTGGTCTTATTTGTGAAATCTCATCGACACATACCCTATCTTTTTGATCGGTTGTGTATTTATACTTATCACTTTACCAAGTGCGCTGGCATTGGTACCTGCCTCCTTGGTAAGATTGAGTTGAAATCCCCTGGCACTTTTCTAGTTCCACCATTGGAGGTAATTCCGAGTGAGCATGTGCCAACCTATATATCTCCCCCTCTCTTATTCCCACTCCTTTGTTTAACAGAAATTAATTTTCTGTTAATTTTAAACGCCTAAGAATGTGCATTGATTACAGAGTTCAACCAGTGGTCTTATGTAGAACAAACAGAGCAACAACAACAACAACAAAAATACTAAAGGAATAAAATAGTAAGTTGTTCCTCAATAGTCTAGACAAGGGCTGATCATGTCATTGTCTTTCATAGTGTCCATTTCACTTCAATGGGTATTATTTTAGATGCTCATTTAATTGCCATCTATCAGGGAGAACATATGATATTTGTCCCTTTGGGACTGGCTTATTTCACTCAGCATGATGTTTTCCAGATTCCTCCATTTTGTTGTAAATGCCCGGATTTCATTGTTTTTTACTGATGTATAATGTTCCATAGAGTACATATCCCATAGTTTCTTTATCCAGTCATCCGTTGATGGACATTTAGATTGATTCCATGTCTTAGCTATTGTGAATTGAGCTGCAACAAATATTGAGGTGCAAATGGCTCTTTTTTTCTCCCCTTTAATTCCATTTGGGTAAATTCCAAGGAGTGGGATGGTTGGGTCCTGTGGTAGTGCTATATTCAGGTTTCTGAGGACTCTCCAAACTGTCTTCCATAGTGGCTTTACCAGTTTGCATTCCCACCAACAGTGGATTAGTGTCCCTTTTTCCCCACATCCTTGCCAGCATCTGTTGTTGGTTG